AGACCACCACTGCTGCACGTTGGCAAGAAGCCCCTCTTGAGGCTTGTCGTGATCTCCATAACGCACCTCGACATGCTGCACAAACACCCTCACGCACTGCCGCATACTGCCTGCTGTGGTTGTTTGTGTCCCAGCCTGAATGCCCTGGAGAGATTTCCTCCCCTGTGAGGATGAATACCTGTTTTAATTTAGGATCTTTAAGGTGAAGATCACCCCTCCAAAGATTAGAAGGGACACAAGATGGAAATGGATATTTTATCACTTGCAGATCCTGGAGGGTACATGGCACACCTGGAGGGCACACATGTGGGGCAGGGAGCCCAGGCAGGGAGAGAGAAAGGGACCCGTGGGCCAACAATCTTATGCGCGCCCTAGGAGTTATCCAAACGGGTTGCCCGTGGGGAGTTTTAATTGGTGGGCTTAAAGCAGGCAGACGCACGTTTCAGGAGGTCACACTATGACTGAGCAGTAGTCACTGTGGCCTATCTGCACAGACTGTGCAGGGTATCGGGGCCGGTGTGGCTGGCCAAGTAGGATGTATGTACATCTTCACACGTACAGACGTGAAACATCTCGTGATGTTTCTTAAAAAGAGGAGGTGGCTTACAAGGAACACAGCTGATCATAGGTTGATAATGAAGACACATAATGTGCATGTATGTATGTATGTGTGTATATGCATACATGCACATAGTAACATATATGTATGATCACACACACACACACACACACACACACATCAATTCTCCTGCTTCATTTATGTTTCCGGGATAAGCTCTTAGGAGTGGAATTTTCCATTCCAAGGTTTCTGATGAAGACTCAGTCCACTGAGTTATGAATCACTTTTCACGTTCCTCATTTGAATACCCTAGTTCGTAGCCCATACCACTTCACAGTCAGTGTATCATCCATTCCAATCATCCATTCCAATCTCGTGGTATTTCCTCCGTATTTCCTTCCACTGAGGTCTTGTGCACCAAGCTCTTGTGTCTCTCTATACCACTACTTGTGTCGCTCTCCTAGTGGGTGATCCATAAGATACCCTGGCCTCTCTGCTGCCCGACTCCACCCATCCTCACAGTGAAACCTCAGGCTTCCCCTCAAGTTTCGTTTCTCACCCCCAACCCTCCCTTCTCTGCTTCATCTCCCTTGCAAGCACCATCACTTGTCAAACTTCATTCGCTTTGTCATTCTCTGCTGGGAAAACCAGAGTCTAGTGAGGCCCAGCTATCCGACTATTCTCCCCCCAACCCGAGCGGGGGAACTCTGCTGCATAAATTTTAACACCAAGTGTAGCTGTCTAGACCCATACCAAGATAGGGACACACATTTCACCCGGGCCACTCAATCCTACCTAATAATCCTACCGTATTACCCCCCAGTTAAATATGATTTCCCACAACTCGAGGTTATCTATGCCTCAAAATGTAACGCAGCTGTGTTAATTTCCCAGGGAGGCCACAACACATTCCCACACCTGGGTGGACTGAAAACAACAGAAATTTATTCTCCGGCATTTCTGCAGGCTACGAGTCTGAAATCAAGGTGTCAGCGAGGTTGGCTCCTTCTGGAGAGCTCTGAGGGAGAGTCTATTCCAAGTTTCTAGCGGTTGCCAGTAGTCGTGGGTTGGCTTTCCTTGGGTGGTAGATGCACCACCCCAATCTCCTTCTCCGTCATCCCACGGTGCTCTTCTCCGTGTGTCTGTGTGTCCAATATCCCCCTTCTGATAGGGACACCACTCACTGGAACAGGGGTGTATGACTAATCTTAATGCTTTAGGACCTCATCCTAACTTGATTTTTTTGTTGTTTCGTTTGCAAAGACCTATTTCCAAATATATAAGGTCACATTCACAGGTACTGGGGCTCAGAACTTGAGCATATCTCTTTATGGGCAAAATTCCATCCACGCGAACTGCTCTTGCACATTTTGATGACTCCGATATTCCACGATTGTCAGTGAAAAGTTAGGACACACACATAAGCAGGCATTCCCTCTTATTTCTCTGAGAAAACAATGGCGATGAGACAGGAGCTCCTCTGTGAACCTCCTGGCACCCATCCCGGCTTTCTCTCCTGTAACAACGCAAGGACATCTCAGCCCCTGCCCAGGACTGACCCTCCGCTGAGCACATGGAACCCTTCTCTTGACACACTTCCTCTGAGGATGTTGCTTCTATTGCTATTGCCTCTCTTCCTCCTGCGCCAACAATCTTTTTTCTTTTGCTTTTTTTGCCTCTCATGGAATAACATACAAGCATACTCAAGAATCACCCATCTTAAAAACTCGACAGAAAAATAACTCCCATCTTGAAAATGTGCATTGATAAATAAGCTTCCTTGACCTCATTTCCCCTTCAGTCCCATTCCTCTGCATCCTGCCCCCCCATAGCAAATGCTATTTGAAGAATCACCTCGGCTCACTTCCTGAGCTCCCATTCCCTCCTTATTCCTCTGGCATCAGGCTTTTATCCCCGTCGTGCCCCACACCTGACCTTAAGATGACAGGAAACCTTCAGGCCACCAAATCCAGTGGTCAGTATGCTAGGCTCTCATCCCTCAACATCTTAGTGTTTGGTCCAGTTGAGGACTCCCCATTTCATGACATCAGTTCTTCGGTCTTCTGTGTGACCACCCTCTCCCAGAAAGGCTTCTTCTCAGCCTCTTTTGTGAGATCTCCTCCTATCAGGATCCCACAAGAGTGCTCCAAGGCCCAGGCCCTGAATGGCTTCTCTATCCACACGTCAGCCTCATGGCATCGAAACACAGGTAACTCACAATCCCATATATATACTGAGTTACACACATGGTTGTCCCATAGACATCTCAAGGGTAAGGTGCCCCGAATTTCACATGCCCGGAACTTCCCGCAACCCCCCGCACCTCCCATCTCGAGGGTAAGGTGCCCCGAATTTCACATGTCCGGAACTTTCCCCCAATCCCCGCACCTCCCATCTCAAGGGTAAGGTGCCCCGAATTTCACATGTCCGGAACTTCCACCACCCCCCGGCCATAACCCTTAGTTCTCTCCATTGTCCTTACACACTCCATCCCATCCATTGTTAGAGGTGGTGAGACTACAGGTATATTTTCAAGGGATTGATAATTTTTCCTTTCAGTCCCTTGAAAACATACCTGTAGTCTCACCACCTCTAACAAAGGACTGAAGAAACAAAAATCACTGGGTCAAATTTGTTAGTTTCCATCACGGCACAGAAGAAGCAGAAAGAACCAAAGAGATGGCAGCCACTCAGACGCATGAAAACATGCTCAAAACCCTTCGTGTGTCCCTGCTGGCA